GGCAATTGACCAGTTCAACACCCGGTGGCTGACCCAGGAAATAGCGGAGGCTGTTTTCCAGCAAAGGTTCCGCAGCACGGTATTTTTTCTCATAGAGCAGCAGGTTGGCACGTTTGGTAGCCAGTGTATAAATATTAGCCTCGTCCTTACTGAGGGCGGCCTGCTTTTCAGCCTTGCTCAAAAAATATTTTGCCGAATCAAGGATGCTCAGCATGGTATAATAATCAGCCAGGTTAGAAAAAATAATCAGGTTGCTGTAAGGGTCATTGTCCAGGTAGGGCAGTGCAGCCATTGTATAATTAGCCGCCATGCGCTCATCGTTGGTCTCATTATACATCAGCCCGGTATTGACAAACGCATTTCTTAACGCGATGCTATCCTGTTGTTGCATCGCCAGGCGGATCACCCAGCCATAGTTGCGGATTGCTTTTTCATACTGGTTAAGGGCGCCATAGGAGCTGGCAATGGTATTGGTAATAATCAGTTTGTTGCTATTGGTATCAGGCAGTGTGGTTATTAGCTGTTCCAGCTCATGCATATAATGCAGCATAGAGTCCTTATTGTCCAGCGCGCTAAAGGCGTAGAGCAACGATTGGTGCAGGTACAGCTTTTTAATAATGTCCGGTTTTTTAAAAGCCTGCAGCGACCGGCGGTAATAATAAATGGCGCTGTCCTGGTTATTGTCTTCATAAGCATCGCCTAAAAATTGGTAGAGGATAGGGCTGAAGGTGTCGGCCGGCAACCCGGCCGCGTATGACAGCGCCTGATGGCTTAAGACAGGCACATAGGTATAAGCAGATTTGCTGACCGAGTCGCCGATCATTTTACGGAGGAATGCGGCTTTCGCTCTATTGGTTTTTAAGGAAAAGAATCCGGGAGGAAGTGTGGGGGATTGCGCCAGGCAGTTTAAGGTAATACCCATGACCAGCAGCCATAACAGCACCTGCTTTTTTACCCGGCTCATCGTCATTAATACAGGCGTTTTAATGCGATGGCAGGAAGCAGATAGCGGCTTCATAGAAAGGTTATAATGGCTACTGATAAAGATAATCGTTTGCGGAACACTTTTCATCTCCCGGATTCCTGTTATTTATTGCGCGGGCATCAGGGCTTTGCCTGCGGCACTCATATCATCGCGGCCTTCCACTACCATATTAAATTTCAGGTAACCGGCAGACTGGTCCGGGGAGGCCGTTATTATACGGGCAATGCAGCGGATACTGCCATTGAGCTGTATCAGGTACACCGCACCGGCATCAGGATCCAG